CCAGGGTGCGGCGGGGGGACGGGCACCGGCACTAAGGGGGGGGGGGCGGATGACGAATTGAGAGCACGGGCTCCGCGGGCAGGGGAGGTCAAGGGGGGTTGCCAGTTGTGGTGCATGCGCGAGCGGGGAGTGGGTCATGGGCGCGGCGTCGAGGTCAGGGCATCTCACATGCATACGGGAAGAATTGGCGGTCGTTTTGTTTGTGTTTGCGGTCGGCGAGGCAGTCCATGGGGGTGGACGCGACCTTTGTCATCCGGCCCGGTCGTTTCTCCGTACACGAACTGTGCAGCTCTTTTAGGACACGGATGGCATTACACCCAGTGCAAAAGAAACCTTCCCGTAAAGTAAACGGCACAACAAGTGCTGTGAGCGCTGATATGAAGTGAAGACAAAAAAAAAAGTAAACAAATGTCGCGGTGAAAGGAGCCTTCGCTGACGCTAGGATTCTTCGTTACTCTATCTCATAGACTCGTTTCTATGGTAGATACAGAGAGTTGGATTCGTTGTGTCAAGAACAAAAAAAAACATGTTGTGTCCGGGAGTCCGTGGCGACTGTGCGTGTATCGGACAAGGGAATTGTTGTTGTTGTCTTCACATTAAGATTTCCGAAATTCCTCTCTTGGCTGCAGCAGCCTCACGCTATATTTTGCTTGTTTGGGACAGACAAGCAAGGCAAGCACGTTGCGTTTATTTCTCTTAGATTCCAGAACTTTCACGCTGATTCCATGCTGCTGCTCTCTGATTGGACAACTAATAGTATTTCTTCTTCCGCTGCACAAAACTCAGATCAACGCATCTGTCTCTGCAGTCTTCTGCATCGCGGTGAAAGGATATGCCGGAAAAAAACGTCTTGTTTGTGGTACTTGGATATGAGTCCGATCTGTGCATCCTCTGTGGGGGATACGCGTATGGGAAGTATGGGTGTGAGGGTATGTATGCGGTTGTGGTCCAAGTGCGGGGCCCCCGGGAGCACACAGCGGTGTGCTCTCGGCACTTGCCTGAGGGGCTTGCGTGTCGAATACCAGCTTGCCTGAGGGGCTTGCGTGACGAATATATACAATATATGGTCCTTTTTTATCAGCTGTTCTGTGGAGACCACCTTCATAAAGGTAGAAACTCCCCAACGTCTGTCGAGGACGATTCCCTCTTTTCACAATGGCGTCGACGTGAGATGTCAGGGTGTCTGCTTTTGGTTGCAAAAGACACGGGTTCAAAACCCGCTGGTCACCAAATTTTCTTCCGGATAACGGAAAAAGAAAAACGGTGGGAAGACTCCTTAGAAAAGTCCGGAAAATGCAAAACAGGGGCGTTGGTGAGTAATCGTTTCACTTCAGCAAATGCTTCATCATGTTTCGGACCCCAGCGTTTCGCTACCGACTTCACTGCGTCTTTCTTCGTAAGGTCAACCATTGGTGCGGTAACGGCGGCTAAGTCTGGGATGAATTTCCTGACATAGTTGACCGTTCCTAAGACTGATCGCAAACTTTTGATGTTCGTTGGCGTTGGCAACTCTAGTATCGATTTTATTCGATCGTCACCTAATCGTATGCCATCTGCGGAAAGAACATGCCCCAAATACTTCACTTCCTTTGGCCCAAATTGTACCTTTGATGGTTTTAATGTAAGACCTGCGGCTTGTAGCGCTTGGAAGGTATTTTCCAAAAGAGAGATATGACCCTCCCATGTAGATGAACAACAAATAAGATCATCCATGTACACAAGAAGACCAGACTTTGGACCAAAATGTGCGAAAGTCAATGCCATCGTACGTTGAAACAGAAAAGGCGCATTGGCGATGCCAAAGGGGAGTCGTTTGAAAACCCATTTTCCATCCCGAGTAACGAATGCAGTCTTGTCTTGTTCTGCTTCGGCAATTGGTATTTGGTGGTATGCACTTTGTACATCGCAGACTGTGATGTATTTAGCACCTGCTACGGTGTCGATATGACTTGCCATTTCAGGCATTGGCCACGATTTACGAATTAAATTCTTGTTGATCGTCGCTCTGTAGTCTACACAGAATCGGGGACTGCCGTCAGCTTTTGCTACCAACGTTACTGCTGACCCCCATGGGCTCGCTCTTTGTTCGATTATCCCGGCTTCTTCCATTTCACCAACACATTTGTCAATGACCTCTTGCATTCGTGGATTAGCACGATATGGAGCTCGGTTGACTGGTTTTGTCCCCGGTTGTAATGGAAAATCAGCCTCTGTAAGAGTACATCTGCCCAGTTCTTTAGGACTCAGGGAGAACACTGAACGGTATTTGGTACACAGTTTAAGCATTTCTTCACACTGGTCGGGCGAAAAAGTTGTATCTCGGAAAGCTTTGGCTAATGCTTTTGTGAGATCTGCACGAATTTTTTCCGTTTCTGCAGGACTCGATTGAACGCTGCTCATTGTTTGCGGCAGTACTGTTTTCACTGGAGAAATATAGCCTATGAGCGTATTCCTCTTTAAGGATACCGGTCTGTGAGAAGGGTTGGCCAGTTGGACCATTGCACTTTTGTTGTGCTGATACCAGTGACAGACCGTGCGTGCCACTATCACTCTGCGGAATGCATCTGGTGTATCCTGCTTGCCCACGTCATCGGACGTAACGATGCGCGGTTCAACTACGGCAGCTGTGGTTTCATCTGGTGCCTCAAGCGAATGAATTTCAACAGCTATCTCATGTTGTGCAGGTATGCTGCATTTCCGTGTAGTGTATACAGGCATCACAGGTGTGTCCCTCTCTACTGCTACCACAGAACAGTTCAAACTGTTTCCCTGATCAGTCGTGGGATAGCGCGTTTTGCGGTGGACAGCTGGAATTTTGGTTGCTGCTGTTTTAAACGACAGTTCTTCCGCTTGCCAGTCAAGAACACCACCAAATGCGCCCATTATGCTATTGTCGAGTAGCATATTATCTGGTCCCAACGACGGCAGC